GAGTATAATATGATATAATAAAAAAAATCTTGAAAATTTATGTAAATGCAATAAAATTTTTTTATAAATTATCATTCAGATATAAAATCATGCTATGATAGCTACACTTATTCTTTTATACATATGTATTTTTATGTTCCATATATTTAAATATAGATAGAATAATTATAATATATAATATATATTATATATTATAATATATAATATGAAAAAATATGAATATAATATTGAATATGTATGAATATGTATTTTTTATGGATATGTAGTAATATATGATATTGATTATTATTATATAATGTGTATTATTAATATAATATTCAATTTCTATATTTATTATTTTTTATTATAATATTAATAATCTGATATCATAATAAAAAACATTTAATGATTATTTTATTTAATGAATTAGATAAAGATAAAGATTTATCATTGATTTACATTCATAATCTGTGAAATTCAAATTAATTCAAATGATTCTTCTACATATGAAAATAATTAAAGAATTAACATAATAAAAAAAACAAGCCTATAGAAAAATACATTTAACTTTTACAATTCATAATAGATATATTATTGGAGTATGTTTTAATTCAATTGGATGGATTTCAAGTAAGCAGGTCAAGTATCAATGATTTACTTATTTTAAATTATTTCAATTTACTTATTTATTTACTTATTTATTACTATTCAAATAACTTATTTAAATAGATTTCAATTTTGTAAAAATAATAAAATTTTTCTTTTTTTAAAATAATATAAGTACACTGTATAGTTATTGTTTACTTCTTCGCTAGAATTGTCTATCTTTATCCTTAATATTCTTGGATATTATATTTGGCCTTCTGATATCATATTCTACATTTCTCTTAAATATTCAAAATCATGAATAGAGAGATTTTATTCACAAATAAAACATAATTATTTTCAATTATAAAATCATGTAAAAGATTGCATCTCATTATTTCAGTAATTCTTATTGCTCTTTTCTATTAATAGAATTAATATGTTTGTCCATGTTGATAAATAGCATTAGAAACAAAAATGTATGCCAAAAAAAGACGTTTCTCTCTTTCTTAAAATCAAATCCGTATTTTTTCCGCGGTACTTCTTTCTAGTAGTACGATGATATTTATAACATATTAAATGTTATATTTCTCCAAAAAATTTTTTTGAAATTTAGAAATAGTCATTTGTATATTTCTATTGTATTTCTATTATCTATAGTGATATTAATATATTATTAATATATTGATTTTTGAGATGCTGTGCTATACAAGAGATAGTACTATATCGTACTATTGTATGTCTAACATTCTCACTTTATTGCCGTTTCATATTATCTAATACAACTAGTAGTAACAGTTTATAACTATTATTAAAACTGATATTGATATCGAGTTTAGCAATACCAACTATAAAATAATAAAAATTTTTGTTCAATATCGATACGTATCAAAGTTTTAGATACTTGATATCATTTTTCGATATCGATATCTTTTAAAATGATATCAAACTAATATTGTATCAAATTAAAGACTATATTCTGATATTCACAGTCTGACACAATATTAATTAGTATTCAAATATATTAAATATATCAAGTACTTAAAATTTTGAAACATTGATACGAATTAATATTTTAGTATCGAATATCGAATAGTATTTCAATTAGATAACTATTTATAACATGTTAAATAAGTCTTGGATATATATACGTATAAATTTTTTTTTCGTTTTGGTATTTAGAATATCAGATTTATATAAACATTCTATATATTAACTTGTGAAAAAAATAAAATATCCATATGAAATAATCTCAATTAAATCCTAGAATTTTACTGCGACAAGTATTTTATAATATCCTAGTTTATCTGCGGTATTCCGCATTGATCGTATGTCGATCTTGAATAGTGTCCAACTTTTTTCAATAATTTTTGCCATGTTATCAGGTAGGAATCAATTCCAGTTTGAAATCAGTAAGCGTAATAAGCGAAATAAAATAAAAAGTATTATCAGCATTTTTTTTTTATTATACGTTATATTGAAATTTTGATTCCAAAATGATTTAAATATAAATTTAATAAATTATAAATATAAATTTCAATTGTGTTAATAAAATAATAGAGTTAATAAGATTTTTTTAAAAGTTAAAATTCATAGACAAGATTTTCATGATAAGAGATTTTCACCAACCAATAACGGATTTATTATGTTTTAAAATTAAATTAAATTGTTATTCTATAAAATTTATACAAACATATTGTATAAAATTATTGTATAAAAAATTATATATCATAAAAAATTATTTTTTTTACAATTTTAAAACTGGAAAGATTAAAAATAAAATAAAAATAAAATATCAAATCATATATAATAACCCATAATTAGATTCTTTAAATCTAATTATTGAAATTTTTTGAAAATGAAAATCTTCATTCTTAAAAATTTTCGAATTTTTAAAATTTTAATAATTCTCAATCACGATTAACATTTTTAAAATTTTGAAAAGAAAACAAAATCATAACAATTTTAACCAATTAAACAATTTTTAACCAAAAACAAACAAATTTTCATGACATTTTCCAGCTTCTCTTTATTCACTGACTCAAATCAAATTCTCCAGAGATTTGTATTGGCGATTCACCTATATAAATCCCACCTATAAACTCAACAACTCGGCAAAATCGCGATTGTTAAACAGTGTTGAAATGTGAAACGGGAATAGTTTATCAGTATTATTTTGCCTGCATCCACTTCCACGGATTCGCGCGGAAAGTTTGCCTACCTAATTTGCGGCGGAGGATCGCGAAATCGTCGCTCATTAAATCGTCGACAAATGTACGATTGCATGTGTCCAATAGAGATTCGGAATTCAACTCTTTTGTTTTCCAACACGCGCGATGTTCCAGGTGGTAGATTGGTAAAATTGCACGTTTTCGATGATTATTATGCTCGCGTGCATGATAATCGCCATTCTAGAGCGAGTTTCGATATCCTTTTACATTGAAAATAATGAAATTCAATAGTTACGATACATGAGAGAGTGATAAATTGATTGCCATCTTATTAATATTCATTTTTATGAAACATGAAATATTGGTAATAGCGACTATTTCACAGAATTATTATATAGTGAATTTGATGATTTGAACTTTATCAGAGATTTTTTTTAAACAGTTATTTTATCAAAATTAATTATGATTTATTTTGAAAGATTATTATACAATAATATAAATTTGACAAAATTTATTTTGATAAAAATTATCAATATCCAAATCGATAGATAGTAATATTTTGCAATTATGTAGGAACTATTATATTTATAACAAAAATTCTTATAGAAAAATATTATCTATTAATATTATCATTTATCATTATTAAATCATAACAAATACGTTAAATAATATAATATCCAGGTTATAAAATAAAAAATAAGAAGTGGAAAAAATATTACAATCGTTGTTGCACAATACAATTTTTTAAAATTAATAAAAGATTAAAATTAATAAATATTAATATATATAAATATAATATATATAAATAAATAAATATTAATTTTAATCACAAAATTTTTTATTAAAAATTATTTTGTTCACTATATATGTACCTATATATGTACCTATTGCGTATTTATATTATATCTATTGCTATATATATATATATATACTGCTATATGGATGTATATATTCCAAACGTTATTTTTCATCATATATTTAGAATTTTTGTCAATATTCATTATATATTTTAAGATATTTAGTGTGTTTCTCCACTAATTATTAAGGTTTCGATATATAATATCGTATGTTAATAATGTTGATTATGATTCAATAGCATTATATATCTGGACTAAAATATATCTTATATATATATATATTTTAAATGATGAATGCAATTGCACATATATATAATATGTATTTTATGGCATATATGAATATACGAATATTCTATGTATATATATATATATAATATATATTGATATATGAATATAACTTATATTCAAATATATGAGAATTTCCATATATATTTAAATACTCAAATATATGAGGAATAAATGTTCTAATTTTGATAATAATTGATATATTATGAATATATTATGATATATTATGATATATTATGAATATATTATTTGACAATAATTGAAATATTATGAATATAATATGAATATATATATAAAATCAACCACATAATAAAATTTCTTTTTATTTTATATATTAATCTTCATATAAAAATAAAAATTATTTTTAAATTTTATTAAGAATCTTATTTCTTAATCGGTTCAATCAACTTAAAACTTAATATTGAATCGTATTGAATTTTTTTTTATTCAAATTGATACAGTTTTCATTTTATTATCCGCTATCTCAATCAAGAATCAAATGCTTATCTGGGTAAGAAACTTTTATGATTTATTTAACTTAAGCGACATTTCATTTAAAAGAAACAACTGTGAGTCAAATAAAGGATCGATGTTAAATTTTTTTCAGTACTTTATTTTATTCGACATATTTAAACTACTATGTGTTATGTTTTCTTTCCAAGAATTGGTACGGATATCAAAAATCCAAATGCTAAAATTGACGAAAATTCAAATGCTAAAAGATGACTTGAGAAAAATTCTTCTATACTACATAATTTGATACTTCTTTTTACGAATTTTTAAATTTCATAGATCACATAGTAATTTCAAGATTGTATATTTAAAACTATAATCAATTAATTAACAATTAATTTTTTTTCTCATAGTATAAAAAACTCTTATTATAGAGAATTCTAATTATTAAAAGAGAAAAACAAGTATATAAAACATTTTATCGTTGTGAAAATAGCATCATATTTAAACTTTATCGAATAGAATGATGCATACATAAGCATACATTGGTATTAATTTCTGATTAAGAGATACGACGGCGAATTGACCATGATTTAATCAACAGCCCTTGAAAAGATCATAAATAGAAGAAGAACGAGATTCATCAGTTAAAATTAATGTTGCTACTCACCGTGGTCGAGGCGCTCGAACTTCGATGTTGCTTTACGGGCGGACTACCATGTCCTGGCTGCACATCGGAATTTAATTGACGGTTCACAGTTACTGGCTGATGCTGTTGCACTGTCGGCTCTATGTCGAAGTAACAGTGTGCTTCCAAATGGCTTTGTGCTCTTCTTTCTTCCAGAACTATCCTACGCGCCGCGCAGAATATTTTGTAGTATACCTGAAACAGAAAATGTATGAATCCATATTTTAATTAGCGAGACATTGACAAGGAATTATCACATTTTATTATGGAAACTTATGTCTTGAATTAAGCCTTTACACTCCAGATCTGTTTTGCTCGGTCGAACCAGCAACTCCAGACTCAGATTCGCGCGTTCGGTGCGTTCGGTGCATTCGATGGAATTTCTTACAGCTAATTTATAATGATTTCATATACAAATTAACGCATAAAACTTTTATATTTTAATATTTTATATCTTTATAATATATATAAAGATGTTATATATAAAAAACAAAATTTATTGAATATTAAAATTTATATTGTTGTTTTATGTGATATTTTATGAAGCAATTATCAAGATGCATCTTCTGGTTTGTCAGAGCAAATAAAGCAATAGTAATTTTCTTTCTAACTTTTTTATTGCATAATTATTTGTTTCGTACATTATTTCATTAATAAGTTCATCAGTAAAAAATAGTTTAAAAAAATCTAATGGTTCATTTATATTCAAAGATATTGCGGTCCTACAAATTTTTCACCGGATATAAATTGTATTCTTCGCGATATATTTTCCGATTCTATACATGTTATCCATTTGGAATTTTGTCTGGAATCTGTGTCTTCTGCGATATCTTCACTTGATTACTTTCACATTCACTATCTATTATTCTTATTTTTCGCCTTCTTATTTCATTTCTATATTCATAATTGCTTTTTCTATCGTTAATTTCTTTATGAATAGAACTTTGTCATTCAATAACGAAAAATCAAACTCATCTTCACTTCAACTAATTTCATTATTCCATGCTTACAAATCTCAAAAACTTTGAAAATAATATTTCTATTGTTACGACTGTCAAACTCAGATTAATGCCGAAGATATCGTTCGACTCACGATCACGGTCTAATTTGAGATAAAAAACCTAGCCATTTAACAATATATTATTCTATTATTCACCTCATAAGATTATACGTAAAGAGGAAAATATTTATGAAGCGATATTCTAAAAAAATCAAACATAAATAAATATTGTCGCCGTTCAAGTTGCCGCATCAATTCCAGTGGTGCCGGAGAGTCACCGCTGAAATTACAGCATTAACTCAAGTAATAATCGAGAGTTACCGTTGAAGCGCAAAGAGTTAAAAAAAATCTGATCATTTTTTACATTTTTGCTTTTTGAATTTTAATAAAATTAAAAAATTTTTATTAAATTATTTTTTTAAAAAATGTTCTTGTTTTCATTATATGTTTTTATATCTTGATAAACTGAGAGGATTCAGAATAATTCAAACTATTTTTATAATACTTTCAAAAAGAAAAAGAAGACATAACACTTTTGTTCCGTTAACCAATATAGTATTTCGAATTAATTATCTATGTCATACAATGAAATATTGAGTAAGAATATAACTTCAATTGTATTATTTAATAATATGAAAAATAATTGCATTTTTCAGATATAATAAAATTCATATATTAGCGACATCATGATATTTAAAAATTTTCGCTAATTTAAACTTTTTTTAATTTAGGGATTTTCTTATGACAAAATTGAGTTAAAATAAAAATTCAATCTATATTTGTATGGAAATAAATATTCCAATTAGTCATCTTTTCTCTCACAATTAATTATTAATTCATCAATTATTGTTTCAAATAAATTCGTTGCACAGACCACATCCTGTAATTTATCAATTGTTTTAAGTTATTTATCAACACATACTAGTAATTAATTACATAATTACAATTTTGATACATAATCTAAGATACATAATCTGAAATTTCGTATTTAAAATATAAGTATCATATTTAAAAAATAAGTTTAAAAATTCAAATGTATTTATTATTATTAATTTATGTCGATTTCGCAATTTAATATTTTATATATTTTAAATTATTATAATTTGCGAAATAATAAAATATAATAAATATAATATAATATATAATAAATTAATTGCATCATATCACTCATTTCTTTTATTTAATATCATTTTCTTTATTTAATATTTGTATGATTATTAAAAAATTATTAAAAAATCATACTGAAAAAATGAAAGATGAAAGTAAATTTTAGAAAATTATTTTATTTCTCCGATATCAGTTGACTTTATTATTGAATTATATTTTTTTAAATTAATGCAAAGATTTTTTTAATGAAAATTTAAATTTCTTTTAGAAATTTTCCAATTCGTCCCAAAATTGAAAACAAATATTTCTTATTTTTGTGTTTTTGTTTACAAGGATGAAATTTTGGAATTATTTATATTTAAGTTAAATGGATACTAATTGCGAATCGATAATAAAAATTAGTCAAATTTTGATTATTATTCTTTTATTATCAAATGAGATTAAAGATGTGCATATCTTTAATGGTAGCTATTGATTCAAATCACATAGCTATCAAAAATTTGAATTCTAATTAAAGAATTATCAGTATTAAAGTCTAAACTGAATGACTTTGAATATTGCTCAAATGGGATGCCTGAACTGATATTATTTGATGAGTCACCTATTATTAGATCGTTTGTATTATAAGTTTTGAGTGAACAAATGATGGCTTATTGTAATTATTTGCGGATGATTGATGATTATAATGATTCTAACTATATTCTGAATATACTGAGAATTATATCGTTACTGAATTTTATTCCTTCGTTCTTTGTATTCTATTCTATTCTATTCTGATCTAAAAAACTGTCGCAAGCCTTGATTTTTCCTTCAATTATTATTTTCTGTGAAAACGCAAATTAAGAGGGGATTAGAGGAATTAATAATCGCATTAAAGGACGGTTTCGAAAAATGAGCCCTCGCGAGGTCGCATCATAACGCATGGGGGTCAAGATCCTTGCATTCGTTTCCACAGTAATCTGTTACAAGACATTAGGTACATAAGTATGAAGTGAAGTGGCCATTGCTGCTATATCTCTGTTTAGATTGAGAATCTGAAAAGCGTTAGAGAACTGTATCCGCTCGTAAATTACTACTAGATTATTGAAAATACTCAAGCTATTGAAAATAAAATCCAAGCTTTAACCGTCTTGATTTGTCTTTAACAATTTATCTTAGAAATAAATTAATTTATGATTAGATTACTTTAAAATAGAATATTGTTCTTTGGAAATTTGATCATAGAGGATAAAAAATGTGTAATCAACTTTTCTTAAAAGAATTGTATAGAATAACAAGTATAATATTTTAATTATAGATTAGAATCGAAACTAATCAATTCACAAGATAAAGTCAAGAATTTTCTTTCGATGTAAAATGAATAGAAAATTAGAATGAGAAATAGAAAGATAAAATCATTCGTGTTTGTTTTAAAATTATTGTTTAATTGCGAAAATATTTCTAAGAAATGATAGAGATAATGATAAAATTTATAAGGCAAAACATTAATCAAAATATAAGACATTATTATATAATTATTGTATAAATATCTTGATATATAAAAATTCTAAAAAAAATATTTCTAATATATATAATAATAATAAATACATTATGAATATTTATGCAAATTCAAATTTTTATGAATATAATTAAAAAAATAAAAATCAATTCTATTATGTCTTAGCTAAAAAATTATTTTTTTTATAATTTCTAAATTAATTTAAAAAATAATTAATTTATTAATTTATATCTATTTTTATTGGCTTTTCTAAATTATTTAATCGATTAATGATTAAAAACACAAATTGAATAACTATTATGATCTATATTTTTATTTATCTATTTATATTTTAAAGAATTCTAATCAATATTAATTAATTTAAATTTCTTTTTTATCAATCGAGCAAAAAATTTTTTAATTGAAAGAATAATATGTGATCTTTTTAAACAATATATTTCTCAATATAAAATTGTTATCATAGTATCAATATATCATAGTAACAAATATATCAAATTTTATTGCATTAATGAAACTTGTAAATGGGAATACAACTGTCCTCTATGCGGTAACGATGCTTTACAGTATTTAACAATTATATTAATTATATGTGTATGATGTAACTGGAGTCTTTTGCCATACGCTAAACGTTTAATCAATTTTAGTCAAAAGTCAATTCTGCCGCTTAATCGATGAAAAACTGGAGACATTAACGATCCTCATAGTTGTTCAAACCGAAATTCGGTGAATTGATTTCAATAACGTACTAATTCAATAGCATAACAATTTTCAAAAGTTTATGTGGCATATTAAAGCAGCAAATAAAATAAGAAATGTTACATTGATATATTTAACTCTTTCATCGCTTATTATATAATCGTGTTTACATTAGGCAATATTTCATCGATCACGTTTGAATGACTAAAATTAAAATAGATAAATAGAATATTTTTTGATTAAACGATTAGAAGTTTTAAGTCGTTTTAACTTGGTTAAAAATGTATTTACCCGAGCTAATAATATTTACATAGAGATAAAAATTGCATAAAAGATATTTTTTTAAAAATACTACTGAATTTAAAAAAAATTTTTAAAACAATTTATACTTGCTAATATTTATATATAAATATTAAGAAATATAAATAAAAATCTTATTCATAAGTCATTTTACAAGAAAATTTACCTATCTTGAAAAATCTAATTTTAATGAAAATTTATTTATACATAAAACATATATATAACGAATTATGCATAATATACATACAATAGCATATAGCAATATTTTCGGTGGAAAATCTAAGTGTGTCAAATTAATTTTAAATTTGATTATTTTTCATGTTTTGAATAGAACTTTATTTTGAAATATTTTTTACAATAGATTAATAGAGCACTTAAATTTGAATATAATTGAACGTCAATTATCCGAATTATTGTTGCCATATTGCATCGTTATTATTTCCATCATCTCTTGAAATTATATATATAATTGTATAACAATTAATAATATAATAATAACTTAATATATAAATTATATATTTTATATAATATATATTAAATTTTAAATTATAACTTAATTTTTTTAAATTATAACTTAATAGCATTCTTTTATTG